TGATCTGTTCGCTGGTGTGGTTCCTGAAGCCTGAGGCAGAGCAATACAATGATTAGAACTCAAGCACAGAGAAACCTCCATCCCTCTCTCTCCTTCAAAACACTGTAACAAATCATTCATTTCAGCTCAGGCCTCTGATGACTTGGTCAGTGGCAGTGCATAACTCTGTCTCCATCGATCTATCTACTTTTCTTTTTAAAGTTCAGACTTGCATGCCCATTTTTTCTCACATTCGTGCTGCCTGGCCATTTCCTAATGGCAGAAGATGCTAAATTAATGACCGAAGATCCGGTGATCATGTGCAGGGACGTGTCTCGAAACTGACTGTGACAGCAGCGCAGGAAATGCAGCGAACTCTGGAAGACGCCCCAGTTTCCGACAACAACATCCAAAACGCCACGAGCACAGGTCTCAGTGGGACAAAAACACAGTGTTTCGCCAGAACCCGACCCATTGCCCCGGCTCTCATGACACTTTACAGCCTCAGTTTAAAGTGAATCTCACTCAGGGAGCCGCTCCATAACAGAACTAAACACCTGGAAGTGCTCTGTAAATGGATCCTGTGCTGGAGATGACAACGCTGCGTATTTGTTCAGTGGAGTCCCTACACGTATGTACCAGCAAATGCTATCACAAACATGCATGTATTAATGAGACATGTCTGAATAGACGTACACATCCAGGGCTGTTATCTCATCAGCTTAACGTCAACATGCTTTACAGAGAGATGGAGAGAGAAACTGTTGCATGGAGATTGAATTAGGCCAATGCCAAAGTGAATGGTACAAAAAAAAGTTGTAAATTTCATTTTTTTGCAAGACTAAGCATCATTCCCAAAGTGACGCTTATTACAGTTAAAACTAAAACCATAAACATTTTCATTAGAGATCGACCGATATATCGATTTACCGATATTTTCATGACACTTTACAGCCTCAGTTTAAAGTGAATCTCACTCAGGGAGCCGCTCCATAACAGAACTAAACACCTGGAAGTGCTCTGTAAATGGATCCTGTGCTGGAGATGACAACGCTGCGTATTTGTTCAGTGGAGTCCCTACACGTATGTACCAGCAAATGCTATCACAAACATGCATGTATTAATGAGACCTGTCTGAACTGACGTACACATCCAGGGCTGTTATCTCATCCGTTTAATGTCAACATGCTTTACAGAGAGAGGAACTATGTTACGTGGCGATTGAATTAGGCCAATGCCAAAGTGAATGGTACAAAAAAAAGTTGTAAATTTCATTTTTTTGCAAAACTAAGCATCATTCCCAAAGTGACGCTTATTACAGTTAAAACTAAAACCATAAACATTTTCATTAGAGATCGACCGATATATCGATTTACCGATATTTTCCCCGATATTTAAGCATTTTACCATAATCGGTTGTCGGTTTTGTAATATCGGATTCACCGATAAACGCCGCCATCTTGTGGGTGTTTTGAGAATTGCGCGCAGGATCGCCATTGCAGCGAGTCTGAGGGGAGACGAGACAACAACAACAGCGTGCATAGGTAAAGCATACGTACTTGCTTTGCTGTAATTAGTAAACTTCATAACAGCCATTAATGCACATATTAGATGCGTTACATAAATGCCTGAAATGTAGCTAGTTTATGCAGCTTGTCTCTAAGAAATAGAGTCACGCAAGATAATCCGTCAAGTCCTGTCCCAATAAAGACGTAACTTTGCCTGAATTAAATAATATACAGCCATGAGTCAGTCATCTCATCAGCCGTTGTCATCTCCAGCGCAGGATCCATTTACAGAGCACTTCCAGGTGTTTAGTTCTGTTATGGAGCGGCTCCCTGAGTGAGATTCACTTTAAACTGCGGCTGTAAAATGTCATGAGAGCCGGGGCAATGGGTCGGGTTCTGGCGAAACACTGAGTTTTTGTCCCACTGAGGCCTGTGCGCGTGGCGTTTTGGATGTTGTTGTCGGAAACTGGGGCGTCTTCCAGAGTTCGCTGCATTTCCTGCGCTGCTGTCACTGTCAGTTTCGAGACCCTGCACATGATCACCGGATCTTCGGTCATTCATTTTGCATCTTCTGCCATTAGGAAATGGCCAGGCAGCACAAAGGGCCACGGAGAGGCACCTCGAGGGCATGTGAGGAAAAATGGGCATGCAAGTCTGAACTTTAAAAGGGGTCGGTGCACCGGTGGGCAAGTGACGTAACCGGTGTTGCGGCTTAACAACGGTATAAGGGCCACGGAGAGGCACCTCGAGAGCATGTGAGGAAAAATGGGCATGCAAGTCTGAACTTTAAAAGGGGTCGGTGCCGCGGTGGGCAAGTGACGTAACCGGTGTTGCGGCTTAACAACGGTATCACCGTCAGCACCGTCTATCGCGGCAAGCCTACTTGATGCACTAAAATAACTAAAACTACAACTGGAATAAAATTTTTTAAAAAATGTTAAAAAAAAGGAACTTTAACTAAAATTTATTTTTTAAAATAAATCTCTTTCTAAATGTTATGAACAACTATAACACTACTTAAATGATACTAAAATAACACTGATCAGCACTCATATTGGTAATAAAAATAATCAGAAGGGCAATAAAACAAAATCAATACTGTCAATACACACTTCCTGGCAGTTACATGTAAAACGCTTATATTTATAATCACTCTCTCTTATCTCTTGCGTATGTCTCATGTCTACTGTGCAATATTATTATATCAAACAATATTTCTCTTTAATAGCATCTAATTGTCTAAAATAACTAAAACTACAACTGGAATAAAAAAAAGAAAAAAAAAAAAGAAAAGAAAAAAAAAGGAACTTTAACTAAAATTTATATTTTTAAATAAATCTCTTTCTAAATGTTATGAACAACTATAACACTACTTAAATGATACTAAAATAACACTGATCAGCACTCATATTGGTAATAAAAATAATCAGAAGGGCAATAAAACAAAATCAATACTGTCAATACACACTTCCTGGCAGTTACATGTAAAACGCTTATATTTATAATCACTCTCTCTTAACGTCTACTGTGCAATATTATTATATCAAACAATATTTCTCTTTAATAGCATCTAATTGTGTAAAGCTGCTGTGTGCAGCTTTCTGGAAGTTCAAAAATATTAACAATACAGTGTGTACAAACAATACGGTCCCTAGAGTTTGGGAAACCTATTCGACAACAAAATCAATGTAAAAAAATTCAACCTAATTCGTCTGTAAAGTTTATTTGAAAAAAAATCAATTTTAATTCAGTTTGGTTTGATTTTTAAGGGAAGCTGCATTGTGCAACGCTGCCAGGTTCTATTTATGACGTGCTGACAAACATTTCAAATGGTTTTCAACGGTCGTTTGATCGCGACCAGTGTAGGCAGACTTTAGCTGTTGTAGACACGGTGTTACTCACCTATTGAGAAGAAACAAAGCAACCTCGGCATCCGATCGCAGGCCTCCGCTCCTTGAGTTCTCTCCAGCGCTGGAAAGCTGATCCGATATTTACACGGGTCCTACTTCTTGCCTTATCGTTCCGCAGACGGTTTCCTCTTTTGTTTTTTATCCGCCATCTCTATCTTTCTGTCGCTCGGCTCGGCTAATGTCCGTCCCATGCACTGAAAGCTCTCTCCTCCACATCACGAGTAGACACGCCCCTTATTGCTGATTGGCTACAAGTTTGTTTTGCTATTCGGCCCGAATCAGTTTTCTAAAGTGTTTTTGAAAAATCACATACCCTGCCTTTAATGCCAAATTTACATTGCAAAGGCGGTACAGAAACGCTTCTGAAGTGGCATGTAGGTGTCTTAACGTAGACTGTTAAATGCTTTTCAGAGGTGGCATAAATGCATTTCCACAGCAACTTGGGTCTGAGCATGCATAATTTAGTCTGGCTTTTATGTGGCATTGCGCCTTTACACTGAATTTTGATCAGGCACAGAGCAGCCTAAATCAGCAGTGTAAAGATACCTTAAATTGCAGAACTGATTTGTTCGCTTTTACTATAATGTGTACTCGAATGCAAAAGGAGTTGCTTACTGCATACTGTACAGTAGGGATGAATGCATATTCGGACACAGACAATGTTTTGCATGAACGAAACTCTACTCTGGATCTATTCTGAAAAATAGACTTCAAACGGGTTTTACAGAGCCTTTTGAAATTCCAAAGAACCGAAGGAACAGATGCATCCAATATGCTGATCTAGATGAACATACAATCCCAGAGCTACCTGCATATGTCGGTCCCTTGTGTGGGCCAACATATGCAAACAAATATCACCCGAATCCCACAGAGGATGTTACAATGAAAGTGTGCGAGTGTGTGTTCGTGCATCTGACTGTCACAAGCGTCACGTGGAGCAGTGCTCTTCATAATCTGGTTGGATTACGGCTCTCAGACCTGCGCTGTCTGGCCCGTCCATCCGTCAGTCCTCGGCCCCATGTATCCGCTTCCGATCCATGATCATTCATGACCCACTCACAACTTCACAACATCAGGCTTTGTGTTGTTCAGATCACACACACAACAGTTGCACTTTAGCTGGAAAAATTACTCTTTGTTAGTGTCCTCTCACAAACTATCTTCCTGTTTGAGACTGTAAAGCTGTTTTGACACAATCAGGATTGTAATAAAGCGCTATATAAATAAAGGTGACTTGACTTTGGGTGCCAAAAATGTGCAAGCAATCAAACACCAGCAGTGTGTGTGTGTGTATATATGTGTATGAGTGAGCAAGACACTGAAAACAACTGATTTTTCAGATATTTCACTACATTTGTGAGGATTTTAGGTGTGTAACACAAACACACACACACAAAGACATACGCAAAAAGGACACATCTTCACATGACAGCTGTCAAACCTTCTCAAACACCTCACATCTTGAACTACACCCAAGACTTTGTTTACATTCCTTGTAAATATAGGATTTTGTGACGTCACAGCAACTAACGTTAGTACACAAAACAATTTGCGGCATAAATACGAAATGAATAAGCAAGTGTACATGAATAACAAAACTTACCATTCACACAAAAGAAGACCAGCCAAGCAATCCATAGATCAGAATTATGAAATTTCAGCATTTTTCTGAGGGAAAGTCGTCGTGTTATGAAGTTCAAAGTCAGTCAGATTTTCTCCACAGTTTGGTGGTGGGAAAGTAATTGTCTTTCAAATAAAATCTAAAGCTTTTTAAAAATATTTCAACGATGACATGTAAAAATAAAAACTACAACTAGTCAAATTAAATCGGCGCGTAAAATTCCCTCAGAGAACTCGTTAGCGTCGGGATCCGCGTGAACGCGTCCGGTTCGGTCCGTCGGGATCCGCGTGAACGCGTCCGGTTCGGTCGGTACCGGGGCGTCCGGTTCTGTTCTTCAGCACAACACAGAGCTGTGTTCACATGCCGTCCACGGTGAACCAGACAAACGAGCACCGGATCCGCGAGAGGGCCATGACCGACGCCGCTGCCGCCTCTCTCCGCTCTGACTGAGACCCTGACTAACTGACTGCTGGCCTGTTGCCTGGAGACCGCTGACGCCAGTGACGCCAGTCCCAGCGCGAGGTAACTGTGCCCTCCTCTGGCGCGAAAAGGTGGCAGCGCGGGAAAGATATGAACGGGACAGACAGGAAAAGATAAAGAAGATTGTCTCAGTCTATTGAATGACTAAATATTTTTTTAAATGTTATATTATATTATATTAATTTTGTACACCATACAAACAAGTCAGTTTTAACAAGATTTACTATATTTGTGAGAATAAGATTTTCTTAATTTGTCTGTATAGCTGCATTATATTTATTATGGTGTTCAGTAATGTACAGTCATTACACTCTGAGCTCTCAATTAGGTATTCATACAATCAATAAACTAACTGATCAATAAACTTGTTTAGAGACAGAATCAATAAAACACCTGTCTATCATCCAGCTGACTCACAGGACACAGAACAAGCCAAACACACGTTACCTGTACTGTAGCTATCTATGCTGAAATACCAGTTCTATTTTCTTATAAAAATAAACAAATGTATAAATAAATATGGATTTAAATACATGTGGGAATAAATAATAACAATAAATGAATGTATAAATAAATATAAAATAAATGAAAGAATGGAAAATAAAGTTAAAAAACTGAAATAAAAAGTAAATACAGAAAATAATAAATAAAGGTCATACAAATTAATGACTACATTAAATTAAAATAAATATGTGAGGGAATAAATATAATAAATCATCATATAAACAATAAAATATATTACAATATAAAAATGAATAAAAATGAAAATAAAATATAAAGTTAAAAATAATGCAAATAAATTTAAAAATAAGTGAAGAAAATACTAAAGGAAAAATAAATAATAAAAATTAATTAATGTCTAATTCGAATTAAAATAAATATAACAATAAATGAACATAAATAATTACACCATAAAACAAATAAAACAATTATAAAATACTGCAAATAAAGTTAAAAATAGAAAATAATGAATAAAGGAAAAATAAGTAATTAATGACTATATTTGAATAAAAATTAATTGTATTTTGTTTTATCATTTACTCGTTTATTTTCCTATTGTTATAGTACACTATGTATTTTTTACATTTAATTTAGCTTTGTCCTCCAAACACACACACAACTTAAAAAAATATAATGACTATATAAACCCCTAAAGAACACAACAACATCGTTTATTTGATGTGCTATTTCCAATTTTTCCCTGAACATAATTTAACCTGACTGCAGTCAAGTTTTGTCTGATTTAGTTACTTTTGGCACCAATTTGTCCTCAAACTCCAGCTAAGTAACCCCTCACACACCTCTGAAACAAACTTCTCTGCATTTACATCCATCTTCTATGAGAAACGTGCAGAGCAGCAGATGTTCAGATCTCTGACTCCGACCGCACCGAACATCTCAAACAGCCGAAACAAGCCAACTTTTCCCCCTGATTAAACTTTCAGCATCTTCAGTGTGTTTGATGAAATATGCATGTGAAAGATTGACGGGGTGTTGCTGAAAAAAAAAATGCTACTGTGCTTTGCATCTATCCTGCAGGCGTTTGGCACCGAATAAGAGAGAAAGACTTGTCTCAGTCTGATGGACAGAGAGAAATATCCCTCTCTTCCGCCTCTGGGCAACAATCGCCCGGTTCTCTTATCTCTGGCATACAGTTGTCTTCAGCCCAGCAAAGAACGTCCAAAACAGTGTTTGGAAGCAGCCTGCGTTTCGTCCTGCTGTTCAGATGAATTATCTGTGCCGTACTCAAACATAGATGAATAAGCAAACAAATCGTGCTCAAACCAGACAGATCTGTGCTGAAACCTTCAACATCAACCATGCATTTGCATAAGCGTGCTGTTTAGACAAAGATACTGTCGTGTTGACTACTGACTTTTTGAATTTTCATGGTGAATTAACCTATTTCTAATTAACCAAGTTACTACACAAAGCCTTGTTTTAACAATACATATCAATTCATTTGTGCTGAATGCCTTAATTTGATTGTTACACACATACATTGATCAAATAGGACTTTTGTACGTCAAACCGGCCAAGATTTATCAAAACACTAATAGCTCACTAACCAGCAACCACTGAAAGCTAATACGAGACAAAATGGATAAAAATAACTATTTCAAACATCAGAATTTATTAAACCAGCAAACAGTTTAACAAAAATAGCAGATAAGTCTCTTTATTCCAGTGTTTCATTGAAGATTTGACATGTAGGTAGCGCCACCTTGTGGAAGTTTGGAATTACAGCTCAATAACTTCAAGAGATTGTCATATAATCATACAATAAAGATTTTTACATTATGTTTCTGGAGGTATCTGATGAATCTTGCTTCAGTCCTACAAAAAAAAACACAGAGAGAAAGACAAATGTTAACCTTTAGATTCTTACAAGAATCCTTAGAACTAAACCTAAGCCCTTATTATGCAAGCTCTGCTGCAAGACATTGT